AGGCATAACCGGCAGAAAGCCGTGGTGTGCTTGATCAGGTTTCTAGAAAGTGGTCGGAGTGTGCGTGAATCCTGGGACCTTGGGCTCGGAACCGTGGCTTTAAGAGACTAAAACCTGGAGCTGGCAGGCGGCATGGTGCTTAAGGCCCTGGACTCCCACATGACTGGCTACGGTTCGAGTCCTGGACCTGGCTGCTTGCTTTCTCACTTTCCCTCTCTCTCTCTCTCTTTCACTCTGTCCCGCTCTGGTCAAATTAAAATAAATAAATAAAGTAAAATAAAAAGAATTCTTAAAAAAAAGAGAGAGACTAAAACCTGAATCCCTTCCATCTCAAAACCTCAGTTTTCACAGCTATAAAATAAGAAGGTTGGGTGCGTTCAGCCGGATGACCCGGAAGGCCTTCTGTAGCACGGAGACTCGTTCATTCGGCCGGAAAGTCCTGGTGGAGGCAGCACACGGAAGTGGGAAGGGGGGAAGACTGGGCTCGGGCAGACCCAGGCTGGAATCCCGCCTGCCTTTCCAGCCTGCTGGCTGTGTGACCTTGGACAGGTCTCATGTCTCTGAGCATCTGCCACCCCCTCTGTAACTCAGCACTAATACTGTTTAGGGCTGGCCCCAGTAGTGCAGCAGCAACAGCACTCTGCAGGTCTGGACGCACATGGGAGGGTTCTGGGTTCACATCCTTCTTGCCATCTAAAGGAAGAGACAGACCTGTCTCTAGTCGGGGATGACTCAAAGTGGACAGGGCTGGGATCACCCAGAGAAGTCAGCTGACCCAACCTGGGGAGGTGGGTCAGGGAGGGCTTCCTGGAGGAGGAGAGTTAGAGTTGAGCAGTGAACTACATCATAAGCACTCAAGACTTAGGAACCATCCCTTGAAGGATCTCTTATTGGTCAGTGGCACCGAGAGCAAGGAATTTAACACAGACGAGACAGTCAGGTTACCTCCAGCCACCCATCCATCCTGCTAGCATTCCCCACTCTGCTGGGCCATTCTGGGGACACATCGGTGACCAAGACAATCCTGACCCTTCCTGGGGTCACAGATTACCAGGAAGACAGACACCAAACGAGCCATCATCCAAACCATTGCTTCTAGAGAAAGGTCCAGGCGCCATTGCTCCCTCTGTCCTCTCACAGCCACCAGCCTGGCCCGGAAACGCGCATTCTCCCAGTCAGCACAGGAGCCCTTGGAAGCAGGACAGCGTTCCTGCCCTCAGAGAAACCTTAGCAGATTGAATTCAGACGTTGCTTCCTACCAAACCGGGGCACGACGAGCTCCAGGACAGACCCACTTACCCGAGTCCATCGGCAGCAACCCGGGGATCTTCCTGAACGCATTTCTGTGCTCCTCCTGCTTAAGCCCTCGGTGTCTCCCATGTCCCTCAGGGTGGAGAGCAATGGCCGACCTGGGCCTACATCACTGGTTTGTTTTGCCCTGTTTTTTTCCCCTCAGATTTTTGCCACAGGGCATGTGTGCTTGCTAGAGAAAGACAGAGAGCAAAAGAGAGAAAGTGAGAAATCACCCTCCAAGGGGGGAATGGCCACGCTGCAGTCCCCCTTCTCCCAAACGCTTCACAATTTTGGGCATACATGCACACACGCCTGGCAGGATTTTCACACCACCAGGTCCAGGACTCGAGTCACACAGCTGGCCACGTGCATCTATGCCACCTCTGGCTCCATCACTGGTTCTTAACATCCCCAAGACCCCAGGTCCAGAGCAGCAGATGGCATAATGGTTATGTCACTGGACTCTCTCATAGTAAACTGTAGTTCGAGTCCCAGACACAGTGGCTTAAAACTTACGCCTGTGTGTGTATGTGTGTCCAACTCCCAAGAGAAGAATGGAGGTGAAGGGATTGTGGCATGGCCATCCTCCCCCCCGCCCCCCCCCCCCCCGGGGGTGACTTCTTGCTTTCTGTCTCTCTGTCTTTCTTCTGCTCCGGCAAGCATATGTGCCCTGTAACAAAATTATCTCTATAAAAAAATAATAATAGTGTTTAAGTGTTGGGACAAGCCAGTGGCATGGAGGTTAAGGCACTGGATCCCACGTGCCTAATGATTAAGATCAAGTCCTGGGCCCAGCAGCTTGAATAACATACTGGGTGTGTGTGCACGTGTGTCCAAAATCCTGAGAGAATGGAGGAGAAGGGATTGCGGTGTGATCATCCTCCCTGGGAGATGATTTCTCACTTTCTCTTTCTGTCTCTCTCTCTCCGGTAAGCACACATACCCGATAGCAACTTTTTTTTTTAAAGCATGGAATGTCTACATATAAAACATCAGGAGGTCCTGAATTTGCGTACCCATAAGTGGAGTTTTCTCCCTATGAGGGGATCCAGTGGGACATTGGAAAGGTAAGTGGAGCTCAGGACAGACCTTGGCTGTCTGGACAGTTGAGCTAACTGGAATCCCTGGTCCTTGTCCAGTAAATTCAGTCACACCCCAACCCCTGTGACAAATTCAAAATGCCCCCACCGATTCCAAAGCGTCCCTGAGGGATGCCCGTAATTTAATGGTCTCCAGCCCCTGCAGACCGTACGGGTCCTGCCTTGGGACTCGCGTTCTGTTCTAGGCACTCCAGCCTCACTGCTGTTTCCAAACTGCAGGGTCTCCATAGCTCCGGGTCCTCTGGCTGGAAGATTCTTCTGTGTGGTCTCAGCTAGTTTCACATTCCCGATCCCAGCCCGTCTCTAGGGGGTCAGGTCTTTGCAGTCCAGGGTGTTCTCAGCGGGGCTCGTTCAGAAGCAGACACCAGGTGTCGGTTCGGTCATTGCTGAGGCACCCCCGGGGGAAGGTGGAGGAAGAGTCCTGGAGCTGAGGTGGGCCGGAGGGGAGGCCTGTGCTTGGTCCCAAAGGCCAGGAAGGATTTGGGACAACGGAAAGGGACGAGGGAAGGCATGCCAAGTACGACTGTCTCACGCCAAGGCCCTCCACCACTCTAGCACCAATTCTTAGTTCCCAGAGAGGTAAAGAGACCCAACTTTCCATTTCCCTGGGGTGCGACCTTGGGGACATTCCTAATCTCTCTGAGCCTCCTATCTTCCTCTAAGGTAGAAATGATAGTATCCACCTCCTGTGTGGTTACGAGAGCCAAAGAGATGATGTCGAGAAAACACTGAGCACTGTAGGATGTGCCCAATAAGTGGCCATTGAATAAATGATCAAAGAGAAGGTTTTTTGGGGAGTTTTTTGGAGAGATTTTTGCTACAGGGCGCATGCGCTCGCCAGACAGAGAGAGGCAGAGAGACACAAAGCGAGAAATCACCCCCAGGGGGGATGGCCACGCTACAATCTCTTCTCCTCCATTCTCCTCTTGGGTTCTTGGGCACGCATGCACACGCGCCCAGCATGAGTTTAAGTCACTGGGTCCGGGAGTCGAACCGCGGTCGACTACATGGGAGTTCAGCAACATAGCCATCACGCTAACTGATGGCCCCGAAAGAGAAGGTTTCGATCAAAAAGAAGGAGAGAGAGCATTTGCTTTGGAGCCCCACCGATTCAGCTCCCACAGCGTGCTGTGGGCTGTGGGCTGTGGGCCCGTGAGTCTCCTTCTCTGAGCCGCAGCTACTCCGAGAGAGGGGGTCGTACCTGTGCCTCTCTTGGTGCCGGAGGCGTTCAATTGTCCTGTGCGGTAACGGTGCACGTGTGTGGCTGTAAGTGGCTGTGACCACCACCAGCAATGGCCCTGGAATGAACAGGGGGAGCAGCCCCTCCAACTTAGGAAAAGGGCACTAGAGGTTGGGGGATATTTGTAGACATAGGCCTTCATTGAACGGACGGGGACTCTGAGACCCAGGGAGCAGACGAGTCTTCCTAGAGGACACAGAGCACCTTAGAGGCAGAGCAGGGACCAGAAACCAGAGGCATGACTTTCCTCCAGGTCTCCATGGGGAGCTAGAGTCAGGTGGGGGTGGTGGGCAGGGAGTGGGCCCTTTAAATCCTAAGCTCCACCTTTGTTTAGAAGGGGTCTCTAAGAAGTATAAAAGGGGGTGCAGCTCTTTCTGCTCCAGAAAACGCCTGCTGCTCTTGCCCGCTGGCCCCTGGGCTCCACCCCTCTCCCGCACCCCCCCACACACACACACACAGCTGGGTGCCATGCAGCTGCCGCCCTTCGACATGTGGAAGGACTACTTCAACCTGAGCCAGGTGGTCTTGGCACTGATCCAGAGCCGGAGGCAAAGGCTAGAGGCCCAAGACTGGGCTCCGCCCCTCTCCAGCATTCCCCCACCACACACACACACAGCTGGGTGCCATGCAGCTGCCGCCCTTCGACATGTGGAAGGACTACTTCAACCTGAGCCAGGTGGTCTTGGCACTGATCCAGAGCCGGAGGCAAAGGCTAGAGGCCCAAGAGATCTCAGAGCCGAGACCTGTGCCCCAGGCGGTGCCCTTTCAGGAGCTGGGAGGCCCGGGAGCCAGCGGGGGCCCAGCCGCCCTGTGCAACTTCTGCAAACACAACGGGGAGTCTCGCCATGTCTACGCCTCACACCAGCTGAAGACCCCGGAGGGCGTGGTGGTGTGCCCCATCCTGAGGCACTACGTGTGTCCCCTTTGTGGGGCCACCGGGGGCCAGGCCCACACACTCAAGTATTGCCCACTCAACGGTGGCCAGCAGTCCCTCTACCGCCGCAGTGGGCGCAACTCGGCCGGCCGCAAGGTCAAGCGCTGAGGGTGACAGCCCACTCGCCGCCCTCTCTCCCGGTTCAGTTGCTCCCCAGTTCTAGACCCTCCCCTGGACTGGCCCAGCCCTTCGAAATATCTGACCCCTGGAACTTCGTCCCTCTGGATCCTGATGGAACGGAGACTTCCAGTGAGACCAGACAGCCAGCCTGCCCCACGACCCCTGGTGCTGCGGAACTGTGACTGGTGGGCCAGTTCCTGGATGTCTGTCCTTCTGGGACCCCCACCCACGTTCCTGGATTGGATGTCGGTCCTTCTGGGGCCCCCTGGTGGCACTCGCCATGCCCCTTCGATTTCTCAAGCCCGAGCTCCATCCCTGGTGGAATTCTTGGATCCTCAGACCTAAGGGCCTCACTGCGCTCCAGAGACCGTCAACAAGGCTGGCTCAGCCTCTCACCGGGCACTGGAAAGGGAACTGACCAGAGACCAGCGTCTCCACCATCTTCGCCACCTGCAGGCCCACAGTTGGTCTCACCATGGACCGCACTGGTTCGTTCCTTCCCTGCCCTCAGCGTTCCAGCCATCAGGATGGGCGAGGGGAGAGGGACACACCGGAGGGGTCCTGGGTCTGTGCGCGGTTAGCTGGGGCTGGACAGCCTCGGGGTGAGGTGACGCCCTGCGAGTGCCCTGGTTGTTCTTCCCATGGACCACCCCATTTCACTCCGTTCCTGATCCCAACCCTGTCGCTGATGGATCCTCTT